CCTCAGCAAAGACTATGGGCTCTACCAGGAAACATTATCTTGATGAACCAGCACAGGACCGGCAGGTGACGGTAGGGCATTATCGCCTTTCTCCTTTGAACTATGACTATGGAAACCGGGTAGGGTCCTTAGGAATCTAAAGCGTGTTGCGTATACCTGCGGAGGACCATGGAGCTCTATAGAGAGCTATAAACTTTGACGAATTAGAATCAATGACGAGGTTGGATTAGCTTTAGAGTATATTATCAACAGATATGTATACGATTCCCGGGCCCCCGAAACCTGCCATCCCTCCCTTCGTACCTCTTTCTCTTGGTTATCCAAGGATGGCCGATATGTGAACGTTAGTTGATGTAAAATCAATGGTTAATTTGCGTACCTTCCTTCATAATAACAAATATATTGCACTTTATGATTTAAATCATGTTGAGGCAGAGGTTAGTCTACCAGAATAGCTCATGTGAGAGGTTACTAGTGAGTGAACATCAATAATTACCAATGGCAGTGAGCAGCTTTAGGCCTGCCGGGTCGCCATAAGGTCATAAGAGCATAGACTCCCCAGTCTGGCTTCTACGGTAGTCCTACTTTGGCGAGTTTTCAAGATGGGATATCCGGGCTGCCCTGCGAGGCCCTGCGCCGAAGACGCTATGACAACCTATAGTGGGGCCCACTATCTTCCGGTCCTTTAGTCGAAACACTGTAGCAAATTTCTCGGGAGGACCGGAAAGGACCATGACCTGTAGTCTTCTAGTTTATTTGCATTGTAGAACTTGGAAACATGCAAACCTCATTACTAAAGTTAACTGAATCAGCGTTCCCAAGCGTCCAGTCCGTCCGTCTTAGGACGGGACGGATGCCGGTTTCTGGAACTCTGCCCTGGACGAATGCCCGTCCTGTGGTCTGTCCTCACCTCTACCCGGGACGGCCGCCCGGGCCATATAGGGTCACACTTTCATGATCTATTACCAATATAGTAAGCCTCTGGTCACAACAAAACCGAAGTTCTATATTTAAATAAAAGTAACTTGGTACCTCCCCCTCCTGACCGCTATCGCGGTGGATGACTCCCTTGCACCCACCCCTTCTCCCTCACGCAGGTATAAGAAATAATCCATACACTGTGATTGAAAACTTCTTGAGCGCAACCGGAACCAATACTCCTTCCTCGTGCCTACCTTACTAGCCTCTCCTCTAAATTTTTAAGCATTATCACCACTTCTACAACATCCTTCTCCGAAACTAAACCAGCTTCTGCCATGATTCCATACACCCGATCACTTCTGCTACCTCATCCGCCATCTGGCTGTGATGACCCGCAAGCAGGTTTTTTCCACTAAATGCAACCCCAATTATCATAAGTAAGTTATTAAACTCTCGGTGGATATTTTAAATAATTGGGCTATGGGATACCAGACTTGCTGAATGCATGCTCTACCTCTGCTGGCATGGAAGCCAGTATTTCAAATAGGCTTGTTGTGGTGGATACTAGATGGATTACTTCTATATTTTCTTGAAATTTGAGCGTGTTCATTCACCTATTCTAGACTGTATAGTATCGTTTTAACAATGAATCTCCCTATGAAATAACCACTCGCAGTGTAGGATGACAATCGGTTACTCCAGTGGCTGCAAATACCAAGAGTGCTCTATAAACAACGCGCGAAGCATGCAGGTGATGGCTGGGCTGTGCGGAGGACGGCCGGAAGATTCCATTTGTATTAAGACTCCCCGGCCCGGGCGCAACCCCGAGGACGGCGGTCTTTATGAAGGACGGACGCCGTGCCCTGCGGTCTTCACCCCATTCTGCTGGGGACGCCCAGGACTACAAGCCCGTCAGGGTGTTGTAGGGCGTCGGGACGGTGGGGAGCACTGAACCGGTTTAGAGTAAGAGAACGCAGATAAAAACGAGGTTTTACTAGTATGTAGTAAATTTTCTGTGTCATGTGTTGCGGGTGGGGCAATTTCCTAATATACTAATAACTAATAACTAATCACTGGCATTTGTATTCCAACAGCCCTACTATCTCGTCCCTTTCAGCAGCCCTATCCTTCTTCCCAGAGCATATAAAAAAACTTAAAACCATAGCGTCCTCCAAGCCCCCCTGGACCACACTTCTTCCCGCTATGCAAACACCAACAAGTTTCCTTCTCCTTTCTTCTCTAGTCTATAAAAACCCACTCAATCCCTCCCATGCTCCTCAGCTCCTCACATCCAATTTACTGCAACCTCTCCCACTCTCACAACAGCCTTGCCTCCCTCCGTCTAACAATGATGGCTAATCACCCTACTAGGTCAACGAAACTGGTCACAAAAATAAAAAGCGCTTACCTACCTCCCTTCAAAATTTTGTTATTATACTGTATATATTGGATTACCTAATGCCCTACTTCGGTAGTTGACTGGTTTCACCTGACGCTCTAAAAACAAAAAAAATATGTAAATATTGTTAGCGGACGGTGAGACTCTTTCTTCTCCGGAATTCCCTCCTCCCCCTTCTAGGCTGTTGTGGGGGTGCGAGAGTGTGGCATGTGAATGAATGTTGGGGGTAGGAAGACAGATAAGGTATGTTGATCTCTCCCGATATTTATCTTAAGACTATTCGAGTTGATTACACAGCGCATGGAGGAAATTCTTCAATTCAGGGAATTAAAAACATCGGTGATTGCCTCTGCCGGAGTAGTTCTTTTCAACTGGAAATGCAATTTGGTAAGTTGGGGAGAATATATGAACACGCGTACAAACTCGATACTGACTCCTGTTCAGAAGCTTGCATGATTTTACTACTCATATACTATTGAAGTATTCTATGGCTGAGCCCGCGGCGCTGGTATTCCTAGAACAATCTCCTACTATCTATGGATCTTGTACCTGCTGAATTTGGTGAGTACAAGTTCGGGTCAAAGATAATAAAACAAAGGGATTAGGGAATAACTACTGATTAGGTATGGATTTAAATGATGTGGAATTTAGAGAATTGCCTCTACAGAGAATTTTTTATCATTCTCGACACTCTCGTTCTGTGTTCCTAAGTGTTCGGGGGTACTGCGGGGCCCTACGGGGGGACTGCTACGAGCTCTGGACAGGGCCTGATCACCATGTGCAGTCCATCCCGGGCAGTGAAAGTAGAGGATGGCCGTCTTTGGCTAGGATGGCGGCCCTACAGGGTGAAGCAGGGTAGGCAAGGGGGACGGCGGGGGATCACCAGGAACGGCGAGGCACTACCATGGACGGCTGGGGGCTTCCTGGGGGGGCGGGTTGGCTATGTGCAGTCGGTCCTGAGCGGTGAAAGTGGAGGACGCCCGTCTTTAGGCAGGATAGCGTGCTGTACAGAGGGAACCAGTGTTGGTACGGGGAACCGTGGGGGACCTCCGGGGACGGCCAGGAACTACCAGGAACTAATGGGGACTACTGGGGTTTCTGGAGGATAATGGGGGGCTGCAGGGGACAATGGGTGGCTGCGGGGGACTTGTGGGCTACCGGGAACAGTGAGGTACGGTACAACATATACCACGAGCAGCCTCAAAAATTGTTGAAACATTATGGCTAACAACCTGCTTTTGTTCATAGGATTCCAGGTGGTAGGACGGCAGTCCTCAGTGCTCCGTCCGGTCCTGCCGGCCCCGCGCGTAGTATGTCCCGGTACTGCAGAAAAGATAAGCTACAGGCTAAAGTCCGTCCCACCCTACCCCAAAGCTGGACTGGACGGTTGGGAACACTACTCTAGTTTATGTCTCTCTCAGTTTTCCTGAACTTTATCAATCAAAGACTCTAGCTTTTGCCCTTCATTTCCTATCGTTATTTTGTCTGTATATGTTTTTTTTTGTTTTTTTACCTAAACATAGTATCAACTATTTCTTATTCCTTCATCACTGTGGCAACCTAAAACTGTTTTGAGATCTAAAAGCCACGGGTGACCTGTGGGGTGATCCAACACATCAGCATATCCTGCAACACAAATATATCCGCCAGAATATACCAATATCCACCATTAAATTTTAGAGAGCGAGATACCATTTTCATACATCACATCTTAAGCTACCCGTTATAAACCGTAGGGTACCGGCAGTTAGGCTGGAAACGTAGGATATGGTTCAAACACAAGATCTGGACTGCTCTTCCCCTTTGCAAGTTGCAACCCAGAGTAGCTTCTGATGATTTCTCGGTGGAACATCTCCGCAACAAAGAAACAGACACTTCACTATAATTCTAGTTCTCCGGGACTTCCTACCACAGTCTCCTCAGCGTTGTGCTCAAATTCTTTCCCGGTGTGAGAAAACTGCTGGCATTGTAGCCCACAGAGTCACGGTGTCGCGGGGGGTCAGGTATTCGTGGCAATTCTAGCTCAGAACCGCGAGCCCATCCCTTGGGTTTCTGGCTGGAATCGAGCTAAATTTTTTTAAGGTGAGAACGGCATCGCGGTTTCTGCTCAGAGTTTTCCGGGCCCCAGGTGTATCTCAAACTTCACCATACCTTCCAAATCGCCGTACCGACAATGTCAGACCATGAGGCGGACTAAGAGGAATGTATCACAAGCAACGTACCGTTTAGTACTTTATTATCGGGGGTAAAAGGTTCCTCAGAAGTATAGCAATGCACTAGCCCATTTCTTTACGTGTTCTGAACGTGGGGTGAGTTAATCGACTGAAGGAGTGGGTTATGGCTATTCCGCAAAATCAGGTACCCGCAGGGTTGTCAGTTATACCGTCGTAACAGGATCACGTATGTTTTTCATTCTGAATACGGAAAAAATCGGCCAGTAAAGTATCCAAGTAGAGGAGCAAAGTCAGTTTCTTCGCTAGGTCTGCGAGCAAACGGAATTGAATACTTTGAAGGTGGAAATAGAGTGAGAGCTTAACTTATCATGGCACCTGACCTCGCTTGCGGGGTGATCGCGCTTCCGCGACAGGACAGCACTATGACGCAATTCGGTTGCTGGGTTGTCCTGAGCTGACCTCTTGGCATAAGTTTAACTTAACCCGCCTGCATTGGGAAACTTGGCATGCAATAACTTACCCATACTTTGTCCGACCCGACCCACCAACACCACTTCTGCCGGCAAACCAACAACCAACGGACTAATTGACCGGCTGAAAACATCACCAAACAAATACAGTGCGGCAATGCTTAGCACTGTAACTCGCTATCTCCCGCGTCCGTGTTTCCGCCCGCGTTCCAGCAAAAGCGCACGGCGATGTCTGACTAGCATCGCGCTACTTCACCAGGCTCTTCCGCCACCCATTATCAATGGCTCGCTCAAGCCGCCGAAGCCCGGAGGTTCTCCTCTTACGCATATCCTGCATTCGCAATCCACCGACTGACGGTTCCAAAACTAGGTTATAAGGACGCAAGCGCAGACATTGCCTATGCATTACACTCGCTAAACGACTCGAATATACGCGTGGTTACTCCAGAACCCAACCCAAACCCGACCACCGATACCGACTGGTCGTTCCCGGATACCCAACCGGGAATTCTAGCTGCTATAGCCGCTGGTGCGGACACGATCTGGGCAAATACCTCTCTGTTCGCTCATCATCCGCTCACCACTACCTCGCTCCCACCTTACACAAAATTAATCGCTAACCCGCCAAAAGTTGTTGACCTTGTTGACGACAAGGCCTTTACTAACAAGCTGCTACAACGTCAGGGATTCTCCATACCAAAGAGCTGGCTGCTAGAAGGCGACTCAAAGCGGTCAATCGAGCGGTTATCCCAGCTGATATACGACCTGCCATACCCCGTCGTCGTCAAACCTGTTCGTGGAAGGGGCAGCGAGGCGGTGAAATTGATAAACGGGTTTGTGTGCATGTTGGACACCCTCGATGAGTTTTTCGAGACCTTCGATGTTGTTCTCATAGAGGAGTTTTTGGAGGGGGAGGAAGGGACCGTGACTGTCATGCCGGATGGACAGGGGAAGTTTATCGCCTTGCCGATTGTGCAGCGATTCGATCAAGTTTCCGGGGTAATGCCGTGGAACGGGCACATTCCCGTCACTGAAAACTCCAGAGTATTGCCCACACGTAAGGAAGATTCCTGGCACCGAGCTGCCAAGGAAGAGTGCGAGAGGGCTGCAGAGCTGCTTAAGCTCACTACTATTACTAGGATCGATATTCGTAGGAAGGATGAGGATGGTGGAAAGTTCTATTTGTTCGACGTCAATCCTAAACCTGTACCCCCCCTACAAACTTGTCCATTCTTCTTACGGCCTGGTTTGAGCTAACACACCCAGAACCTCACCGGTGCCGGCCGCCCATGCCGTGATGACCAGGATAGTCTTTGCGCTATGGCTGCTAGGGAGTTTGGGTGGCAGTATCAAGCTCTCGTGAGGAAGTGTGCTGAGAATGCCTACCCTTTGGAGGAGGCTCGTACAATTGAGCCGCCTGAAGCGGTGGTTGGGAGTTTGGATAACTTTACGGTTTGGGAAAAGTGGAGAGGAAAGGAAAAGGTCCAGACCGCTGATGACAACGCTGTGGAGGCAAAAAAGGAGCTGTAAATGAACAAGGAATTAGATCAGGCCGGCCGATCGGATGTGATTTCCTTATAATGAAGTGCATCTCGGACCGAATACTATTATATTTCCCAGCTAGGAGAAAAGCTGACCAAAGGGAAAATGCAAATGTCATGCAATTTTCATCACCAACTCAAATAGTTCCATCACTTACAACTCAGAGAGAATTGTCGCTCGTATCCGTCAGCGCCCAACACGATAAACTAGTTACAGACTTCCGTACGCTAACTTACCGGAGAGTTTTCCAGACAGGTGGCCGTTCAATGTGCATCCTATTGGGTGACCTATCGCCCCGGTCCCTAGTGTTCCATCCCCGAAGGCATTGATACGGCGGGCAAGCGAGGTGGAGCTGGGGAAAGGGGAGTCAGAGTTTGTCTGCCGGCACCCACCAACAAAATCCCTCTCTCTTGTCATATGCACTCGGGCTGAAGGTCCACAATTCTTGTATTCAGGAAGCCACAGTAGTGGCACTAGGCCAGGACTATCTGCCCTACAGCCGCTCGTTTCACCACAGCGTCGCTTTCGATTCAGATGTTCCTCCATGCCATTTCAATCTGACTACTGCACCCTGACTTCTACTTCATGAGCTAGGCAATAGTCGTACGCCATAGGTTGGAAGAACCGGTCCTCCCCACAGAGCTGCGACCACGTATTACCTTTGCTTCCTCCCGTACGTGAAGAAGATAGATCCCTAGCGTGGAGGGACCATGCCACGGCGGCCGATGCAACACCAAGCATGCCAACACCCTCCCGCTCCCCTAGCTTCCGGAACATCAAAACAGCCCCCACGTTAACGCCGGTGCTGTTCTCGCCTTGTTAGTAGCATCGCAAAAAGAGAACGGACGCAAGATATCAGCAAAACAAAGGCCTATGATCCGCGAGATCCGCGAGTTTTTGTCGGTTCTAGCACCCCCGCAGAGGGGACCTACTAGCAACGGACGAGTCCACGACGTGATAGAGTAGTTTCACATAGCGGAGCGGCCTGTAAGCTCATGTCATGCGGCTGCAATGGTGGGTGGTCAATCCTAAACCTGATCCACTCCGGGAGTAGCCATACCGGTGGTGCGAGGGATGGCCCTCGGAGGCGAACGTATGCCTATAGCCGGCAATCCCATCTCCTCCATGATCTACTACTACTCCCGGTAAAAGTGAGATAAAACCCGTTGCCAGCGCACGTCCGTACTTTGACCGCCATCCCAAAGAGCGTTCCATAGTCACCGCGTTTGGCGTCCCCGCCCTCCTGAAGCAGATCGTAGGGGGATTAGAGAAACTTTAGTAAAAATGGCTTCTGGGCAGGTTGCGTGCTGAGTTTTTCTTTTGCCTTGTTTGCAGCAGCCGAGGCGATTGGCCAGGGGGTGCCTGGGTTAGAGAGGCTTTACTAGTGAGGTTCTCCCATTAGCTGTTTCTTTATTGCGAGGCTTGGGCGGTAAGCTATCCGCCCCTGCCATTACTCTGAGGGATAGATTGTACGCGAGATCAACAGGCCTCACTCTGTCTCGTCGCTCCCCTCGGGTGTCAGCAGTGATTCCGGGGGAGAAAAGCATCATCCGAGAGTGGTGAAACTAGATGGATAGGATCGTACAGTATGGCCGTGCCTAAACATGTTTGAACAGTCTATTCCTCGCATAAGAGTTCTCTATGTATTTGTAACTGTGAGGAAATATGCCGGCCGTGACGTAAGCTGCTAAAGTGCCATAGAAGCAAGTTCAAGGTGATTCTCACATGGGATGGAATGGCAACTTACCGGACTGGTCTTTGGGGCGGGGGGGTGCTGTACGATAGATTCTGGGTATCCGCAGCACGCGGAGGAGAAAAGACAAAGTTAAAACAGATCAGCAACGTACGATAAAGGTGATTGAGAAACCAAAAGAAAGCGATGCAGCGAATTTAAGTGGTTGAATTCCCCGGCCTCACCGCGGCTCACTCGTATTCTGCCGGGCAACTGTCACGGGGGAATATTAGGGGTGGGTATCGTACTCCCCTGCGCGGGCTTCGCTTAGTAGACGGGTAGTGGATCTTAGTAATAAGTTAAGGGATAACTTCGAATAACGGATAATACACTAGTGCGCAAATCCAAGGGTGAGAGGTACTTGTATAACCGAGGTTGATTGACGTTTTACCGCATCGCAAAAGTCCGCTGGCCCCAAAACGTCTCTAGAGCGCAGGGATGGCTGTAAGGCATGATATTAGGACACTCTGGCATTATCAGTATTCGTCTTCCCGCCAACCGTCCGAACACTTTGTAAATAGTAATCTGGCCAGCCTTCAATGCTTCATTCTATCCTATCCTAGAGAAAGAAAGAAAAAAGAAAAAAGAAATTGGCCGGGAAAGACCGTTAGAGAGTGCATTAGGCCGTTAGGAAACAATTTTGAGGCGAGGGAGCTTCCACCAACCGAACTGTATTATATTACTTGTTGCGAATACACCAGGCCCGAACAAACACCCAACTTCCCCCCACTCGAGTACAGATGCTTCCCCACACTCTATAGGATTTTATGGGACATTCTCGCTTCTCTAATTGCGGTACTCGCAATGCTTCCTAGTTGTGGGGTGCACTCATCTGGAGTAGGAGATGCATTTATCCAGGGGGGGGGAAGGGCACGAATATGATACCATTTGGATACCGAGGGTTTTCGCGCCGGCACATGCACAACATGTTCTTCCCACTGTCGGAAAAAGATAAGGCGGAGCGAGACTCGTAAAACATCCCTCGTGGGGTCCTCCCAGTCGGTTTTTCTCTCTCTGTTATCCAAGTGTTTTACTAACCCTAGCCCTGCCCTGCACTGCCGTGGAGCCAGTACCGTAGTCTGGCACCAAACCCCCGGCCGCGTAACCCCGCCACCCGGAGCGACAACAGGGCCGCATAACCCACTCGTAATGTAGGGACTGGTATCTTTGCGGCTCGGAGTAACTCAGCCAACCAGGGAACTTACCTGCTAACCCGAATTTGTGGACCGGGGGTACCGCGGCACACCAACCAACCTAAAAGCCCGACCACATCAGGGCATGTGTGCAATTTATCATTGTGTACGGCATAAATCCCATAGAGTCTTGGGAATGTAATGGCTTCTGTTCCGAATTTCGGATGAAAACTCTAGTAGGGAGAGGGTATCGTACTGATGGAAAGTTTTGGTATAAGCGGTGATACATGACTAGGTATCTCTTCCCGCATAGTGTCTCAGTAGAGAAGGTTTATGGGGGGGTGGCAGTTTGCAGAACATCCTCAGCGAGGGGCGCTGGATAAATCGAAAGATTATATACGTCACGGGGGTTTGCGTCGGTGGGGAGTTCGGGGGGGTGTCCTGCCCTTAGTCATGAAGCCATTTGGAAGCAAAGGAAAGGGATGTTTCTGGCCTCTTTTACATAAAGCGGTTTGCGTGCAATGGTTGAATCAAGCACATGGCCTCTTGTCTAGTCTAATACCGGTGGAGATCTTGCAGTCTGAATTTTAATCCTAAAGCTAATCCGAGGTTGGGCTGGCGTGCATCGGGGCGGGGATTACCGATAGAACCCGAGTTTGCAAAAAAAATCAATCCCAGTGAGTATGCTCATGTCGGTATCCGATATCCGGGGTAGTGGATGGTACAACTGACCGCCCCCTGCTAAGGAAACAAGAAAGGAAGATGAGTAATCTACGTGGGGATAGGTCTACACGGCTACCTCACTCGCTTCTGGCTCAGAGTGCCTGTTATTTTTTCGATAGGAGTCTACAACCCCCAAAGTACTGGAGGAAACAGCCGAAGGTGTAACAGAAGGAGCAAGGGTGTTCAACACAGGGATCGATTACTAATCCGAGATGAAGGAGCAATGCTGAATGAGTAGGAATACACTGTAGTGTCGGGAACGGGGGTTGATAGTGTTAGGCCCTTCTTCTGGGTGGCTGCAAAATTTGCCCGCGGCTCGGTTTTAATGGCCCCTACATATAGCAATAGTAATTCCCTCCGGGGCGCTGTGATCACGAGACTGTTATCCCACAATGTCGCGTAAGAACCGATAATAAAGTTGAGTGCCGTCTGGGTATGCATACCGTAAGTCTTCGGAAGGGTGTAGGGACAAGAGAGGTCGCCAGAAAGTCGGCTTGAAAGATGCGCACAGCTGCTCATGTAAGGTCTCAGCGGTGCGGAAGTCGCCTATGTAGAGGAAGGTTTGTTGAGTAGAGTGGCTTGCATTGCATTCTCGTAGTTTGCTATGTCGATCCAGGATTCCAAAAAAATTCTAGGACAATTAAAAGGTAGTTTTTTTCCCCGGAGATCCGGTCTGTGAAATAGTCTGCGTTTCCCCTTGGCCTGTTGTGAATTTCGGTGAAGAAGTGAGAGATTTGCCAGCGGGCAGCAGCAAGACTCGTAGCAAGGGCTTGGCAGGAATGGCATTGGAAATCATCGGATTACCGGGAAAACAGCGCACGATGGGGTATAACTGGTTATTCATGCCCAACACTCGCGTAATTTCCTTTTTCCGCCTCACTTCCAGCACTCGCACTGTGCGACCAACTCCTGCAATACACATCCCCTGGTTCCAGTGCCAGCGCCCCCCGTCTTCAGCTTTCTTCTCTCCCTCGGAGGGCGGACTGGCTATCGGTGACACATTAGGTGACTATTTATTTCAGGGTAGGGGGTGGTGGAGTTGGAGTGCGTGTTGCCATTGGGAGACCACTCTTTTCAGGTTCAAGCTCCCCATCCTTCTACGCCCGCCTGCACTCCTGAACTTTTACTTCTTTATCCATTAGCTGCGTTAGCGTTTTGCTTTAAGTTTCATCAATAATGGCGAACTGGGCCGGGCCTTTCTAATCGCCGGCAGCGTGTTCCATCAAAGTATCTCCCGACCTAGGCTTTTACATCCACCCCTACGAGAAAGCTAAGGATTCTAACCAATCTGGGCTTGCAAGCTTCTCAGCTAATAGAGGAAGCCCCCGTGGTTGCAATTGGCCGATATGTTACTCCTGCCTATAGCCCCTTACCAGGATATCGCTTCTATGAAATAAATTTACTGGATCACGGATTTTGTCGACCACGCGAGGTCAACAGGTGCTAAGACCATCAGGGTGCCGGGTTCAACAGGTCTTCCGTCCGTCCGCATGGGGAGTCGATGGAGAGTCTACCTGGTAGCTTTCCCGCAAGGGAGTAAAGGAA